ACACAGTTCTTTGGCAGTTGGCCTTCTGAGCATTCCTTATATTTGAGCATGTCTTTTCCTATAATTATGTTCTCAAAAGGCAAAAGAGAGAAGAATTGGAAAGAAAGGCAGAGGAGGAAAGGCTTCGCCTAGAAGAAGAAGCCCGTAAACAGGAAGAGGAAAAGAAGCGGCAAGAAGAAGAAAAGAAGCGACGGGATGAGGAAAAGAAGAAGCAGGAAGAGGAAGAGAAAAGAAAAGCAGGAGAAGAGGCCAAACGGAAAGCTGAGGAGGAGCTATTGCTAAAAGAAAAGCAAGAAAAAGAAAAGCAAGAAAAAGAACAGCAAGAAAAAGCCATGATTGAAAAGCAGGTACTGTGTGAGTCCTCAGATAGACTGTCTTCCGTTTTGAAGGCCTATATAGTAGGTAAAATTAGTTGAATTCAAGTAACTCATAGTATTTACTTGAAGTTTTTCCTTAAATTGTCCGTACTGGTTATTAAATATAAGTTTTATTGGGCAGTAACCGTGAAGTTGATAATGCTTGCCCTCTGTTTGGGTTTCCCCAAAGGCAGACATTAAAATAATAATAATAATAATAATAATAATAATAATAATAATAATACATAAAATTAAATAAATATTTTTTTAAAAAGAATTTGGAGCCAGTAGTTGATGTGAGAGGAAACTGGTAGGGAAGTGAGAGGAAAGCCAGTGTTAGCACATTGCTGAGAGGGTCACTGTGAGCACCTGGAACTCAATCACATAGAGACTCTCTGAGAGACAAGGAAAGGATTGTCCATGTGAGGGGTGAGGAAATTGAGCTACTCACCTACCTACTCCTGCCCTTCATTGTGGATGCTCTCTCCTTAGGCAATTAACTCCCTGAAACTTCTGTCCCACAGGCACAGAAAGACCTTGGCCACCTTACCATGTAAGTGATTTGCATGGTAGTAATAGATCAAGGATAGATGAGTGAAGCCCAACCATGTCTGTTCTCATGGAGCAAGTTGTGTAAATCCACATTCAACATTGGCGCAGCATCCACTTTAGGACAGATGATAAAGTGAAGGAGCATGTGTAAAGCCTAGGGAATTACTACAGTGTTTAATAAGCTTTATAAAGTCTATGCCTTGGTTTACCTGCTTTTATCAGAAAGAAGCAGCAGAAGCAAAGGCCCGGGAGGCAGCTAAACAGATGCGTCTAGAAAGAGAACAGATCATGCTACAAATTGAGCAGGAACGACTGGAGAGGAAGAAGGTAAGGACTGGGGTCAGGAGGATTTATGATAAAGCAGGAGCAGGACATGAATACAGTTCTGTTCTACAGTGATGGCAGAGTGAGTGCTTTTAGAACAGTCAAGAAGATCATGTTTATTGATAGTGCTGTTCAAATCCTCTGTGTCTTTTTTAGTTTCCTGTCATCTCATTTTATCAGTTACTGAAGGAGGGGCATTAAAAGCTCTATCTGTGATTATGCATTTGTCCATTTCTCCTTTCATTTATGTTATGTTTTGTTTCATATCCCTTAAAGCCCTATTGTGAGGCAAATAAACATTTCAAATTGTTAAATTTTCTTGTTGAAAATGCTCTAGTGATATTTCTTGTCTTCAAGTTTGCTTTAGCAGCCTTTTCCTCATTAGCATCTTACATGATAAATCTTTTGGCATCCTTTTACTTTGAACTCATGTGTGTCTCATGTAAACAGCATATGATCAGGACTTGTTATTTTTATCAAGTATGACAACATTTTCATTGGAGAGATTAATCCATTTACACTTAGTGTAATTATGGGTAAAGTTGAGTTTAAGGAGACTTATTATGAAGATCTATCCTCATGGTGTCCTAGGCCCTGTCTGGGCTTGGTATTAGTATATGCTTGGGAGCCATTAGTTTTCTCTAATGGGCTCAAACCAGTTGGGGGACTTGTTCATCTGGATGGGAAATCAGTCTGGATGATTCAACTGAAGAAGTTCAGTCTATGGATGTGAGGTATGTTGATGTGGCCTTCCCTCATGAACTGCACCTCTGCCTTGCTTTCTGTAGGGTGCTTCTCTTCATTGATGGGTGGTGATTTGTTGGAAGGAGAAAGATGAGGTATAAGTTGAATGTTGTTTGTAAATACATACTAGTTCACTTAAGCATTTGACCTTGTTCATAGGGCTATTTGAAAAACTGAAAGAAAACCTTTCTATCCTTGTTATCCACTGCTAACATTTGTCTTTTGAATTTTCTGAGTGATGTGAAATTGCATATAGACTGGCTACTTTGTTTGCTTTTGGTCTTATAGTCCCCTTGATTCTTTCCTGTTTCCAGAGAATAGATGAGATTATGAAGAGAACAAGGAAGAGTGATGTGTCTCCAGAAGTGAAGGTAGGAATTGAGATGGCCATTTTAAAGTTAATAATACTGAGTAGAAAAGAAGGAAACATTCAGGGGAATTATAGTCTCTGCAAGATTAACCCCTAAATTGGACTTTTACTGCTTTGTTCCTGCCTAGTTAAGGAGTATGTAGGTACCTGAAAGGAAAGAGGGGTTTCAGAGTTGGAGTCAGTAAAATAAAATCTCCCTGGAGCAATGCAGGTAGGAATACAGGCAGAGGCACAGCACTGCATGAACACAAAGAGAAAGGAGACATAACTAAGGGAAATGCAGCTGAAGCTTCGAGCAGTCACTACAGAACAGGCAGGTAGCTCAGCAGGGCTCCTACTATCCTCTGCCAAGTTGCTTTTCTATGCAATGCCAAGCTTTCCTCTTGTCATCCTCTCTCTCTCTCTCTCTCTCTCTCTCTCTCTCTTTTTTTTTTTTTGTCAGAAAGAAGATCAGAAAGTGGGGATTCAGCCTACTGTGTGTGTGGAAAATAAGATAAAACCAGTTGTCCCCAACAAAATAGGTGAGTGGGAGGTCTGGTTCTTAACTTCCTTTGAGCAGCAAGGACTCATAAAGCTTCCTGCAGAGGAGAAGCGCCTGTGGGTCCCAAGAGTGACTACTGGCAGGGGTCTGTGCAGTTGCCCTTCCCTGAGAGCATCCCTCCAGCACACGGTCTGTCAGCTCCCTTGGGAAAACCTCAGGGCTCCTCCCACCTTAGGAGACATGCTGTCTACTGGCCTGTCAGGCTTGCCAGTGAGCCCAACCAGGTTTTGTTACAACCTGACTCTGCTCTTCCAAGGAGGCCCTGCACAGGCAAAGATGATGTGATTTGTCTTCTTGTCCCCAGTGGGAAGGTGATTACATGGGATTTGTTTGTGGTTCTTTCCACAAAAGATGTTGCATTATTAGTGAAGGCAGAAGATTAAATTAATTGATTTAAATTAAATTCCCCTGTTATATCATTGTTTTGGCTAGTTTATGATTACCACAAAGACTTTGATTTCTCAATCAGAAATCAATGGGTTGAACACCTGCCAGGAAGTAAATGGAGTGGGGCACGCTGCCCCAGAAACTTTTTCCCGAGACATTTTCTCTAATGGGCTTAAACCAGTTGGGGGACTTGTTCATCTGGATGCCCTGGATGGGAAATCAAACAGTCTGGATGATTCAACTGAAGAAGTTCAGTCTATGGATGTGAGGTATGTTGATTTCTTTTGCATTTAAGCCTCTTCTTTTCTCCAAACACCGCCACTGGCTTTTAGTTGGTTTCTTCATCTTTTGCACAGTCAAATCACCTAAAGCAGGTTTGGCCTACTTAACAGGAAAGCTATCAGGAGTATGGTATTCACATCTTAGCTCAAAAAGCAATGCCTCAGATAGAGCTTCTAGGGCATGTGATTTTTGAGGAGAGAGAACTCTCACAAGGTTCTCAGGAAAAAGGAGAGGGAGAGAAGTCGCTAAGCAAGCATTTGTCCTCAGCTGATGCCAAGGGAGCTCTGCAGGATGAATTTCTACCAGTGAGTTGTCTGACAGAGATAAGGGAGGTGACCTTCGTACTCCTGGATCTGTCAGTCATTCACTGTGGGCCCTTCAGGGTGGGGGATGCAGGTCTAACTTTGTGGACATAGGAACTCCCATCTACTAAAAGCAGTGGTCCAAAGAAAGGGTGGCAACTGCGAGTCTTTAGCAGCCAGCTTTCTCTGTGGCTGGGGGGACGGTATGCCCCCAGGTAATGGTGATCTGGGTCAGGCCCCAACAGCACCCACTGTGTCCAGTGTGAAGATTTGATAAAGGAACTAATTTGCTTTCAGATCTTAAAAACCTAAACAACTATTAAACTGGTATTATGTTTGAAGATGATATCAAGAGCTAACTGGCATGGGATTGGGGTGGAGGCATTGGAGCAGACAGCCGTGGGCAGGGTAGTTGGAGTGGAGGGATGCTCTCTGAGTCAGGTGGGAGTGACAGTGTTTGATAAAAGCTCTGCCAGAGCGCCAGCCTGCTAGAGCTTACCCTTTTCTTCTTGGCCCTGAGTTCTCAGCTTTGTCTGTGTTGGGGAGGAGAGGGGAGGGTTCCTATGGCACATGGATTGTAAATATTTTACCTCATCCACTCTGGGCTTGAGCCAGATATGTGAAAACCCAGTCATGGGACCAGCAGTTGGCGTAATGGCTATGTCACTGGACTCCCATGTAGTCAACTGGGGTTCGAGTCCCGGACCCGGTGGCTTAAACTCACGCCAAGCACGTGTGCATGCGTGCTCAAGATCCCGAGAGGAGAAGGGATTGCGACATGGCCATCCTCCCCAGGGGTGATTTCTCGTTTTCTGTCTCCCTGTCTTTCTCTGTCTGTCAAGCGCACGCGCCCTATAGCAAAAACCTCACCAAAAAAAAAAAGACCCAGTCACCCCCAGCCATCAGGTCAGGTTTTCCCTAACTGGTACCTCTTTGCCCCAGGCAGAAAACAACTGAGGTATCTTACAGGTTAGTACACCACATTCTCCCCACCCCCTAATATTGAGCTGAGTTTATTCTTTTGTATCTTTGGGTAGCGGGAGGAGACAAGACTTTGCACCACTGAACAGGGCTCAAGAAAATGAAGGGGCTTTCTATGTGCACTGAGTTCTCCCTGCTGCCACTTCTGCACTTAGAGAGTGGTGACTTCTAGAGGCAGCACTCAAGCTTCTGGTGGCATTCTTTCTTTCCCATGTCTTATCAGTTGTTTAAACCCAGAAAATGGAGGTGGGAAAGGTGAAGATGGGGTGGGGTGTTCCTACTAATGGGGCAGTTTACCCAGGCTCCAGACACCAGAGGTAGTGTTAGACCAGCTGCTGCCCCTTAACTGGGTTTGAGTGCAAAGGAGACAGATCTTCTGAGCATCTACACTTTAGCTGGTTTTAATAGATTCTTCTCCAAGATCTCAAAGAAGAAATGAAGAACATGGCTGCAGCATTACCCTGACTGTTAAGAGACTACTGGTGGGGACCAGCAGATGGCATAATGGTTATGTTATTGGACTCCCATGCAGTCTACCAAAGTTTGAGTCCCAGACTCAGTGGCTTAAAACTCACGCTGGGTGTATGTGCAACTCACACCAGGCACGTGTTCATGCATGCCCAAAGTCCTGAGAGGAGAATGGAGGAGGAGATTGTGGCATGCCCACCCCACAGGGGTAGTTTCTCGCTTTATCTCTCTCTCTGTCTCAGTCTCTCCTGTGAGTACATGCACCCTATAGGAAAAATCTCTACAGAAAAAAAGAGAGAGAGAGAGAGACTCCTGGTGACAGGCCCTCAGCTTCCAGCTTACCATTCTGAGCCTGGATTTGTTAGGTTTGGAGCTCACATAGCAGCAAAACTCCTCCTTCTGCCTTTTGGGGGAGGGATGAAGAAAAAACCCTGAGGCTGGGCAAGAGCTGGATAAGTCAAGACAGATTAGAAGCTATGCTTTAGGAGAGGAAGCAGTGGGTGAGATTGGCACTGCAGACTGCAGGTGACAGGAATGGTGGGGTCCTTGTTCATGATGTCCTCCCCACCCTAACTCAGCTTCATATGAATTCTTCCGAGCAGGATCACATTCAGCAGTGCCCTGGTGAGGAGAAATGATTGTTCTTCCCGTTTTACAGGAGAGGAAACTGAGGCCAGGAGGAGGAAAAGCCACTCACTTAAGGTGGCACCAGGCGCCTCAGTATTAATTAGGACCCTTCCTCAGCTTGCTTTGAACTTTGGCATTTGCTTTCTATTTGAATGTCCCATTTGAAAGTTCTGCAAGTGCTGTGTTTCTTTCAGTAGAGTGCTGGTGCCTGTGGACTGTTTTCCTTGGGTGCTTCGGGTGGTGTGTGCGTGGCCTTCAAAGCCCTGCTCAGTCTGTTTCCCTTGTTCTTGTCCATGGGTGCCTTGTGCCCACCTAGCGTCTCAGATTTGAACTCATTTGTAGTTTGTACAGTGTGTTACACACACTGTTGACTCTAGATCCATCTTCTCTAGAAAGGAATAGTATAACTAAAGAGTACAAGTAGAATATGTCGTGCTTAGTTCTTGTGCTTTCTCTCTCCCTCCTCCCTCCTCATCTCTTTCAGTCCTGTTTCAAAAGAAGAGCTTATCTCCATCCCAGAATTTTCACCAGTCAGTGAAATGATTCCTGGAGTGTCTCTGGACCAAAATGGAACTGGTAATGCCCGAGCACTTCAAGACCTCTTAGATTTCACTGGCCCCCCCACGTTCCCCAAGAGATCCAGTGAAAATCTCAGCCTGGATGACTGTAACAAAAACCTTATCGAAGGATTTAACAGTCCTGGCCAAGAAACTACTCTGAACACCTTTTGTTGACAAAAATGGCATCCTTTTAATGAAAGGTACAGTCTTTTGTTGATATTCTACATCCATAACACTCTAAATGAGGTTTGTGAGGATAGAGTAAACATCACTCAGCTTCCTGGATGGTCAGTTTTATTTGAAAAATCCAAACAGAATATATTATGGTATCTACTGCAGCATACACAAGAGTCAAGGTGAATTTCAAGTAATTCCTTCATATGCCTTCAGTGCCTGCCCCACAATCCCTCTCACTGCTGTTTGGGGTGTGTGGATGGGAAAGTAGTAAAAGCACTGGCTAAAGGTTTGTGCCACCTCCCCTACCCTGCCCTTCTCTCTTGAATAGCACCTTTTGTAGAGGCAAAGAGAATGTTCTAATAGTGTCACAAGGTGGCGTTAGCAAAATGAATTCCCTTCAACTAGTTTTTCTCAGTGACATTCCATATTCTACCCAGAATCATTCATATACATTGTACATTGATGAGTGTTGGCCCAAACGAGTTGTTGTGCTGTGGACCCATTCTGGATTCTTCCAAAGCAGGCATTTGTTCTTGGGTCATACCTGAGTGAGGGAGGGAAGAACTGCAGTTTGTGCCCTGAAAGATTCCCCCACTTTTGGCCTTTTTCTTATCAGAATGCTTCTAGAGGCAAATCTCATTTGCGTGACATCATCTATGGGTTTATCTACATTCTACAGTTCTATGCACTTAATTATGCACACTTCACACTTGATTTACTTCAGTAATTTAGGGATTATTGGTATTTGAATAATGAGATCATGATTAGAATCTATACCAAATTCTATTTTTTAAAAATTTTTTTGTTTAATTTTATTATTTTTTTTAATTTGACCAGAGAGAGAGACAGAAACAGAGTGAGAAAGTGAGAAAGAAACCTGCCTGGTCTGGGTCTCAAACCATGGTCAGCCATGTGGGAGTCCAGCGCCCCAACCACCACGCCACCTGCCAGTTCTCAGAAAAGAATTATTTAATTTATTTAGTTTAATTTGACACAAGAGGGGCAGAGCAAGAGAGAGTGAGGGAAAGTGAAAAAGCAAGCCTTCAGGTCCAGGACTTGAACTGCAGTCAGCCATGTGGGAGTCCAGTGCCCTTAACCACCACTCTATCTGCTGGCTTCACCAAATCCTCTTTATAGCTTAGTAATTCCAATTGGTCCTGCCATTTTTAGACTCAAAAGTATTTGTATATTCTCAGGACCAGTAGATTGCATAATAGTTACATTGCTGGACTCCCACGTAGTCTACCATGGTTCAAGTCCCAGACCTGGAGGCTTAAAATTCACTCCAGGCATGTGTGCGTGCATGCCCAAAATCCTGAGAGGAGAATGGAAGAGAAGGGATTGTGACATGTCCATCCCCCTCGGGGCGGGGGGTGATTTCTCGCTTTCTGTCTCTGTCTCTCTGGTGAGCGCACATGCCCTATAGCAAAAATCTCTCAAAAATATTTTTTATATTCTCGGCCTTCTCTCAGTCACTTTTATGGTTTTATCATGCTTCACTCCTATTACAGAATTTGATGCCTCAAATAATGTGGACCAATTTTTTTAATTCTGAAAAGTTGAAACCAGCCGGGGAGGCCACACAGCTGAGGTCACTGTGTTTTATATACTCATTTTCTGCCTGACCTCAGCTCTGGCCTGTAGACAAGGAGTTTTAGAATTCACCTCCCTGTGTTCTTAGGAAAATGTTTGCAGCCCTTTGACACATGAGGGAGACTGCATGACAAGTCACTTACAGAGTAAACTATATCCCTGGTTTGGAAGTACAGCTGCCTTCTTGGACACTTAAAACACGAATTCCCCTGAGCATGTTATTTTTCCGACAGTAACTTTACTTAAATTGTTTTTTTGTTTGTTTTGTTTTGCTTTGTTTTGTTTTTTAAGTTAGCATCCTTGACTTAATAGCTGCCCCTTGGTTTACTTAACTCACTATCCAGTAAGGACTGGAAAATTATAAAACCTAAGAGAGCATTCATGGATCTCAGATTTATTCCTACATCTGTAACTACAAAAAGTGTAAAACTTTTGTCCAAAAAGAAAAAAAAATTAACTAAATCATTTTACACACACTACTTCTATACTTTCATTTGTGGTACAAGTTCTCAAATTCTTCCTAACCAGAGGTGACACCCCCCAGGGGGGTGTTTGGAAATGTGTTTTTGTTGTCATAACGGCTGGGACATTTGGAAGGCAAGCCTTGAGACATTAAATATCTGCGGGTTTTAGGAAAGACTCCCACAGGGAAAGTCTGAACCACCTAAAAGAACTTGAAAAATACTGTAGCACTTCTGTTGAGAAATTCTGTATGGGACAAGGAAAATACAATTACCAAGCAGGGAGAAAGTACCATATTGTGTGATCATTCTAGTGAGAGAGACTAGATATTGCAAACTGCCAAATACTTGGTTTCTTCATTGGTCTGACCTGGTCCTGTTTTTGAATTTACACAGGTCATATTTGGAGAACCCGTGAAGCTGTTGATAGTCAAATTGAAGCTGCCAGTCATCTAAAGAAGCTTGTTGCTCTTAACCGCTGGATTCCAAATCATTAGATCTGAATGTAACTGTATTTCCTAGGTAGTATGTCAAACACTGGTAACTCTTGGTAGACACCTTGAGACTTTTGCCTTGTTGGGCTTTAGCAGAGTTTCATTTATGGTTCTATTTATGAGCTTCAGCTGCTGATAAAGCACTTCCTATACTTGTCTATTATTGTAGTGATCCTCCAAATAGCCTGGGTGATGCTGGCTTGGAAATTCTCACTTTATAACCATTCTTATTCCCAAAATGGGAGCCCATAAACATTTAGATGTCTCCCTATCAAATATTCTTGACCTTTACCAAAACTCTAGTTAATCATATATTCAACTTGGGCTGTATATCTCCCTGTTTTTGTTTACGAGAAGAAATGCAGGAGCCCCATGCCCCTGGGTTTCTCTTTTGGAAGGTACTATCAAGAAGCCTTTTTTTTTTTTTTTTTTTTAATTTCTTGGCCTTTGTACCCTCCAAATTTTTTTTTTTTAATTTCTGAGCTTTGCTACCTGCAACATGCATTGCCCCACATTACTCTTCGGGGTTAAAGTAGTAAGTCTGGTTGAGCAAGGAAGCGTGTAATGATTTCTGTTCTCTTACACATATTCTTGCATATAGGGGCAATTGGCTCTAGCAAGGGCCCTTTCATGTCACACCTTAAAATCTCCAAACTGTAGTTGCTCCAAACCGTCGAGTGGCTTTTCTGAATCATGTGTCTCATGTGTAGATGGTTGGTTTTCATGTTTTTGCTATTGTTTTTCTATTGATCTTGAGAGTTCTCTTTGTTTGCTCCTGTGTTGGCCCTTTTGTAATAAAACCAGGCACAAATGAAAATCATTGTGCTCTGAAGCCAGGGGGCCCTGAATTGGTCCCAATATGTCACTTTAATAAACTTTAACATAACAAGCATCTGAATGGAGAAAACTGACACTAGAATGTATACTCCACACGTCTCATGCCACATCTGGTGTGTTTTCTTAGTTTTGTTTCTTGTGGTGAAATGTGACTTTCAGATTAAAATAACGTTTTCTTCTTTGAAAGTTTTGTTTTAACTTACACAATAAAGTATTTGGAAAGATTCATAGTTCTGAGAGAGGTTTGCAACCAGAAGATCATAAAGAAGTCTCAATAGTAATCTTGTTCATGTGCTTTTAAAGCCAACTACAGTTTAAGAATTTATTAGTTACAGAAACTGTATGTTTGTGTATGTGTATATACTAAATAAAATACATGCCTCCAGTAATGCAGTGCCATTGATCTTGATGAATATTGGGGAAAACCCTTTTATGACAAGCACATAGAATGATAGCATGGTCTGACTTTCAAAAAATGCCTTGCCACCTTACAGCTTTATTTTACCAATGTCTGTTTTGTTGTGATCTGCTGTACCTCATAACACCATTGTGACCGTGGTGACGCCTCATTTGCATGATGTGTACATTGTGTTTAATGTGAAATACATTTTCACTGAAGAGTTTGATGGCTTGCTAGTATTTTGTTTGTTTCTGTAAGCTCAATGAAGACAAAGCAGCAAAACCAAACCAGGCTTTTAAAAACTTGTGTGGGATAAAAACCAAAAATCTTGTGTGGATATCTTTTCTCTGTTGAACTCATTAGTAATGCATTTATTTTCAGTGCCAGGTGGAGCCAGCTATGGAAAAAAGCCAATTAAGTGATGGACTGTTCCTTGAACATGGTGAGCTTCTGGGTATAGTAGAGTTGCTGTGCTCTTACTTACTGATGCATGAGGCATTTCCAGCTAGCTGAGACGAACTTAACCTTTGTGTAGCCTACAAGAACATTTCACATAGCAGTTTGGCATTTAAACATAATTATAATGAATGTTGATCAACCTTCATTTTCAAGTAAGCTGAAACCCAGACCATCTTTGTTGGATCTAACTCGCAGGTGTGTTTACTGCCTGGGAGACAGTCCCTGCCTATACTAAGAGCCAGGTGGGCAGAACTAGACTGAGGAAACCTCGTGATAACTTCCAAGCTGTCATTTCAGAAGCTGAGTGCCCTGTCAGTGCAGCTGTGCCCAGCCCTGCTGATAAAGCCTCTGGTCAGGGCACAGAAGCAGACATGGCTTCCATATGCAGGCCTCTGACAGGAGCTTCAGAAATCACTTTTGTCATTATGCACTCTGGTCATAGGGCCTACAGTGGTGTCCAGTCATTTCTAAGAAAAATTTCTAGTTTGTGAACATTGTACATTTTGTTTTAATATGGTACAGGTTTCTTGTCAGCCAAATGCTTTTATAAAGTAAATTTAGAAAGAAAATGTGGTGATTAAGGTGGCTGCATCCCACATGGCTGACTTTTCTATTTGAGTCCTGATCCCAGCATCTTGAGAAACATGCCAGATGCCTGTGCATGCATGCTCAAAATCCTGAGAGAAGAAGGGAGGAAAAGGGATTGTGGTGTGGCCATCCCCATTTGAAGGTGCTTTCTCACTTTCTTTCTCTGATTAGTACACACAGCCCTATACCAATTCTTTTTTTTAAATTTTTTTATGCTTTTGCTATAGGACAAGTGCACTCACCAGAGACAGAGCAAGAGAGGGAAAGTAAGAGATCACCCCACCACTTCCCAGGAGCAATGGCCACTCCACTCCGCAATTCTTTCTCTTCCACTCTCCTCTTGGGATTTTGGGTACACAACGCACATGCACCCAGTATGATTTTCAAGGCTCTCAATCCAGGATTTGAACCACAGACACGGTCATGTGGAATCCAGCCACTTTAACCTACATGCCACCTGCTGGCCCTACAGCAATTTTTTTTTAAAAAAAGCAAATGTAAAATCAATAATTATTTTGTTTTTAAAGGTATACTCATTATTCAGGGGAATAGCACAAGTGACCTTCATCCCTACTTCTCAGTGTTGTTCTAGAAGCACAATTATGTAAGTAAAGCAAGAAATCTTAGAAACGTGAGAAACAAGAAGTCTTTACAGATACATTCCCCCCCCAGGAAGCCCAATAAACAACTGAAAAATCTTAGAATAATTTCATAGGGTAGCCAACTACTAAAGAAAGCAATAGCTTCTTTACACATTAGTGATAAACAGGAAATGGATCCCAGCAGAAACGATGAAGTTCCTAGAACTAAACCTTGACTTAGGGATGTTAGCATAGACATAAATGGAAGGATATATCATGTCCCCAAATGGGAAAACCAATGCATATGAAGAAGGTTCATGACAGGCAGTACTCAACATTTGTTCTGATAAATGGGTTTCTTTTTGACAACTTGAAAATAGAATTGCTCAGTTCAATTAAGAAAATGACCACGGGGGATCAGCACTTGGTGTAATGGCTATGTCGCTGGACTCCCATGTAGTCAACTGTGATTCGAGTCCCAGACCTGGTGGCTTAAACTCATGCCAGGCGCATGTGCGTGCGTGCCCAAGATCCTGAGAGGAGAATGGAGGAGAAGGGATTGTGGTGTGGCCATACCCCCTGGGGGGTGATTTCTTGCTTTCTGTCTCTTTGTCTCTCTGTCTTTCTGGTGAGTGCATGTGCCCTATAGAAAAAAGCCCCCCCCCACACACACCAGAAAAAAGACAGAAAATGAGCACGAGACCAACTGGTGCAGCAGTAATGTGCTGCTCAAGAGAGTTGGATCCCACATGGCTACCACAGTCTACCCAAAACACACCAAGCATATGCTGGAATGCCCAAGACCCAGTAGGCTGGAGGCAGAGGTTGTGGAGGGTGTTTCTCTCTCTCTCTCTCATTTGTGCATACAGGCGCTATCATAAAACAATGTTTAAATGAATACAAAGCTAAGAAACTTAGGAATTTTTGAAAAGGAAGACTTTCTCCCCCAAATAGTAAAATATATGATATTTCATAAACAGTGTAATCTGCTAGAGAAATAGAATTGGGCTAGCAAAGAGATCAGAAATATGTGCCCAAGATACATAGGAATGTAATGTGTGATGGGGCTGAGGGCAGACCATTTGTACCCATAGAAAGACAGCTTTATTTTACCCAATGTCTGTTTTGCTGTGACCTGTCATACCTTGGTTTAGTGTCTCCTTAGGGTCAGCTGAGGTTAGCATCTCTTACGGGATAATGACCCAGAATCACAGTGAGAAAATGAGAAAGCAGTGGGATTCAGAGTGTGGGTACCAATTACGGTTCAAGGTTGAAGTCAGGCGAAATTTAGACAAGGCTTGGGAGCAGCTTGTCAGGCATCTAAACTGTTGGGCACCCTCATGCTCTCAGGAAATGGGGAGTAATGGGCCTCTGCTCACTGCCGAGCTGTAGGACCATAATGGCTGGCAGCATGTACTAGTTCCTGCTGTATGCCAGATGGTTCTAAGACCTCTGTGAGGCATGAGAGTTAGGTATGAGAAGGTATTTGCCCTAAGAGTGCACAGCTGGAACTTGGCCCAGCTGGCTTTGACTGTGGAGCCCCAGCTTTGGTACTCTCAGGGGTACCAAAGAGTCTGACAGACCAGACTCTTCTGCCCCTGAGAGCAGTGAAAAAAAAGTTTTTGAGAGGTTTTTGCTATAGGGCACATGCGCTCACCAGAAAGACAGAGACAGAGAGATTGAAAGTGAGAAATCACCCCCTAGGGTGTATGATCATGCCACAATCTCTTCTCCATTCTCCTCTCAGGATCTTGGGCACACACGCATACACGCCTGGTGTGAATTTAAGCCACTGGGACCGAGACTCGAACCGCAGTCTACTACATGGGAGTCCAACAACATAGCCATTACGCCAACTGCTGGTTCTGAAAATGTTTTGCCAGAGTGGATGCTTATAGTAGTGAAGGGCCAGGACCTCATATGGAGTCCTAGTTCTTTGTGTGCCTTTTTTCGTAATTGCTACGAGCCATGAAATCACTCTTTGAAAGTATACAAATCAGTGATCTGTAGTATATTCACAAAGTTATTCCAGCTTCATCACTAATTCTAGAACATTTTTCATTTATATGCATTGTCGAGGGTTTGCTATTCAGTCATCTCCTCGAAGCAGCAGAGCTTGGCTTTATCAGCCATTAGTTCAAGTTCTCATTGTACTTTGAGGCAAGAACATGGGATTTGAAAATCATATTCTCTGAAGCAGTCACTTGCCCTACTCTCCCCTCTAGTAGGCCAGATGAGGGTAGCTGTTACATCATTTTGTTAATGTGTGCTGTTTTATGTTCCACATTGGCTGCGTTAACATGGAATCCAGTGCCAGGCACAGGCCCACGAATCAGACTCCCAGCATGGGCCTCCTTCATGAGTGAGAGTCATGAATTGGGTGGATCCGATTTAAAACACTTGGAAAATTCCGAACCACTGGAGACATGCCTTTAACAGGGGTAATCTGATGGGTAGTTTACATTGTGACTGTCTGCCCTTGTGTTTCTGGGACAGATCTCCTGTGTTAACCACCAGGGAGGGAGTTTTCCAGTGCTCTCTT